CTTCCCGCGGCCTACAAAGTATTACGCCATTATGAGAGTAAAAAACGAAACAAGAACAAACCGAACGTAAGGATTACAAACGAAGAAGATCCCACGAGATGCGGGCCAGAAAAGGCGGCAGAATTGCCAGGATCGTCTACCGGATGACAATGCGCCACACTAATTGCTGTTCATGACCCCCTGCTCCACGGACAGCTAATTAGCGTACACCACTATAATCGCTCCCGACTCCACTAACAGCTAATCGCCCCCTTCGCCCCCTCCCCTTTTGATAGCTGTTTCTAACGCCTTGACAACCTGATTATTTATGACGGTTGATTGGCCTATGGCCACTATAATTACCCTCGTTTTATTGCTACTTCTCACCTCTGAAAATGGACTCCTGCAAAAGTTCGAAAGCTGAGGACAATAAACCAATTGATCCGGTGCTCCACACGTCTTCTTCCTTATCCATGCAGATACCTGGAAGACGAAACTTTTTATTTACTCGAGAGTTTTATTTGCCTGACGTTTCGGATTCTGTCGGGAATCCTTAATCATAGGTGATGATAACACAGTCATGGTCATGCGTGTGTGTGTTACCAGCATGGACATTGGCTGGAGTCCGTGAAAAGGAACACAAAATAGGGGGACATCTCTCAGCACATTTATCCCATTGTGCTTAAAAAACTCTCACAGTCCGTTAAAAACCATTGCTTGGAAGTTTTCTAAACGACAAGGTAAGTCGGACCAGGTGGTAAGAACAGTGTGCTTTTGTAAAGTATGGCAGACTGCTGGACTGGTACTCAGACTGTAATAATTCCTTCTCAGTATGGTATTTATGGCACCCCTATCTGTGGTATTCTCACTCCATGGGATCTCAGTCAGGCATATCAACAGGCTTGAGTGCAACTGCGCCCTTTCCCGCCTCCAGTCTTCCGGGTATAAGCCCGGTCCGAGCCCAACTAGGGGAGTCGGAAAGAATGCGGTAGATTCAGCACAAGTCTACTTTCATTATAATCCAACTGACACACCAATTCCCTATCCATGTGTCACAATGCTCTAGGATGTGCGATAGACCTTGTTGATATTGCCGTCATGTATTGCCTACGTGTTCGTTCGACCTTAACCCGGGCAGTTTTAGTTGTTGTTTCGAACAGCGATGTCATTTACATTTAAATTACGGTATGTAGATTTAACATATAGTATGCCAACTATAATGTTTAGGTTGTAAAGTTGATTTGGCAAGCATATGTTTTTAAGCAGCTCTTCATCAGGCCAACACATTTATAGGGATAAGAAAAAGTCTACAGTTGGACAGGGTTAATAATTGTACTTGGATTATAACTCATCGTTCCCACGCCGCCTGCATAGCGGGATCGGCGTGTAGAATTCCTTGTGCTCAGGGAGGGGGGAAATTGGGTTGGGTTGTGGGCATTGGGCAGGGGTCAAGAATATTGAGTGCTAATTACTGTCATTTGCACTGAAAGGACGACTTTCACTAAGGGGTGGGAACGATTTGCGATCGTCACGGAGTTGAAAGTGTTTTTTAGCGTTTTACGACAACACAGCACTGGATTCGTTAGCTGTGTTGCCATGTGGCATGGGGGCGGCGTGAAAACGATGAGTTGTAATCAAAGAACATTCAGTATCCCTGTCCAACTGTACAATTATCATTATTCCGGCAAAAGTACTGCCCTGATGAAGAGTTGCTGAAAGCATGTGTTTGCCAAATCGACTTTTCAAATAAAACCTGTAATATTCGCAGAGTATATTAGTTAGGTCAACAAAAGACTATCGACTCGCATATGAAGGCAAACGAAGGCAGCACCGAACGGAGACCCATTGGATCTGGTGACGGAATACTGCAAAAAATACAACACGTTCAAGTCATCGATGGGAGAAATGAGCGTATAGCTAACGAGGCAATCGAGGTCTGGTGCAGTGTGGACCAGACTCCGTTCATTGTTGTAGGACCCTTGGGAGACGGTCCAGCGAATGGAAGTAACGGCGCGAACCCTAGCCGTGTGGAAATTAGGACACACGGGAAACGAAGCCCGGTCATGCGCTAAGACGCGGTACAGACCGTTGGGAGTCAGGTACAGTCCGTCAAACACTAGGGAAGCAACCACTACCCAGGCTCTTGAGGGGTCGAAGGAGGCCGGCATAGTAAGGGGCTGCAAGCTAATTCGACGCATACAATTCCGGCGCGGCGACTTCAGGGGAGACGTTATGCTAGCGTGACTGCCACTCTGCGTACAGCGAGACGTAGTAAATTGGTAATCTCCGACTATGAATGCTTGCGGTCTTTGAAACAGTATACTGCGGCCGTGCTCCCTAAAAGAACTTCCTCTCATAAATTACGTCCGGGGAGGCGCATCTTCGTCTCCGGAAGCGATAGATGCGTACCTATATGTATACAGTAAATTCTGAGCACTCGATGAACTAAATTTTGAAGACAATTAAGTTATTTGGGAAAGTAATATGTATTACTCTTGCATTTTCGGTGCTAATTTCATAAGCTAGCGTATCAAGTACAAAAAAAGTAAAACAGTAACATTTTTGCCAGCATATGATAAGCAATCGCCGCTGGTTCATCGCTTCTGTCAATAAACGGTCGTTGTTGTTCGCCTTCCTGTTTGGATCTACCGTCTTCTTTTATTTTTCCCCATGACAGTTCTGCATATGGCATTTGATTAAACGTTCTGCCTAGTGTTTGAGACGTCAATATCGACATATTCTCAGTGTCTCTTGGATGGCCAAGAGAAAAAGAATTTGGAGTGTCTTCTAAGCAGAGCTGTTTCTCGAATAACTCTTACGCGTGGTCATTTACTATGGATAACACCACCTCTTTGTTATCCATTAACATGCAAACATACTCCTTAGAGTCTAATATTCCAGTTAATTAACAGCATACTGTATGTTTAGAGTCGCTTGAAATGTCATGATTAATTTCTTCTTATCCAACTGATTAATCTCAACGTTAGGCTTCGTTCAATATTGTTGAGACGACATTATCTGATGGCGCGTACACCAATGAACACATCGGCTCCAGTACCGTGTACAAAACATAAGGAGAAATAATGCAGGCGGCGTCCAATCCTAGTCTGATGACGGCATAAAACAGAGACGCATTTGTAGATGTCTAATAAGTCCACTGGGCAAGAAACCTGAAGAGGAACTTCCGATTGCAGAGGAACTCAGTTAATTTCTAGGACGATGCAGTTGAGTGCTAACATTAAGGTAAAGATTATTTTAATAATTATATTTAAGATAAGGCTTAGGGTTTTAGGGTTGGCTTTACCTCAGTGTTTGGGTTCGGGTAAAGGTGAGAGAATTTCAACGAAAGGCGCTCTTTGGGAAAATTAGGGAAAACTATTCAGTAAATGTTTGACATTGGAACCTCAGGTCGTCGTCAGACTTAAGTAAATGTGCAAAGAACAATTAACCTTATATACCGTTCGTACAGTTATATAGTCTTCATGCCGTGGTGGACATAATTAGCAGTCTCAAAAGCGTAGTTGATAATTGGCAACTGTACTATCCGTCGGTCCGTTGTCAGTCCAGGTCATCCGGTGTGGACGCTAATTACGGTTCATGTTGCTCCATAGTTATCGGCTGTAGTTTCTTCCACTTTTCTTTATATGTTTATACACTTCAGCCAACTCGAGCAATGTTAAGGCAGCGCCACCTGTATGAGTGGATAATTTTCCCATTTAGGTATTACGTAGTCACTTTTTGTACATCCTACGACGGCCGAAAAATAAAACTCGAACATTTGCGTACTGTGGGATTGACGTAACGACGCCATATGAGGCCATCAAGCAGTGCGTAAGCACGAGTGTATGGTTAATGAGATAAAAAAGAGGTGGCCCCACTAGTATGGAGTTGGGGGGGGGGACAGTCTAATTATCGTGTTGTCTATATCTGATGATGTGCTCGAGTACACGTGCGAGACATCAGCTCATTAGATAATCTTCTCTGACGATCGCTTTACGCTCCCTCCTTTAATCTTAATACCCAGGTCAGCAATTTCGCTTATATGAAGATACATTTGTAGCAGATAAAGCACTAGGACCACTGAGGGGAACCGATGAGGAGCTGGACCCTCGCAACCGCACCACAACATCGCAGACACATCCACAAACCATGTAGCTGGCTCTTTACCTGCTATATGTATTAGGATAACCAATCAGGCAATAGGAAAATATCGTAAATTTCTGTTCCATAAAGCGCGTCTCTATGAAGATTTGAGATATGTGTACCGTGGTGTAGTTGTTTTAAGGTGGCAAAGGTTTCCTCGCTGCCATCATCAGAGCGATGAGATAACTGCAGCTGACCTTTATTTATCCGGTCATTAATCTGCTTAATATTATAGCAGCGTTTAAGGCTATAAAGTTAACCTGTGTGCTATTTGTTTGTTAAGCTTAACTCCATGTCTGCTTTGCGAGCCGTTGAAGCCGATTCCGCAAGTTTACTGACATATATCTGAGACATCGACGCAATGTGGTAAACTGTCGACGCTCAAGGACACTGTGCTCGCATTTTTCATCGAGACAACGATCTCTGTGAAGAGCAAAGTACCGTGAGCTCTGCCTGAAGGAATATGGTTGTTCTGTGTAGCGACTGACTCGCGGAATGTAGGTCTGTGTATGACTTTCGCGTTTGTTCCATAATCCCTTACTGCACCAAGGCTAATCCTTTGCTTGGTTTTTATCTGGGACCATATTCTAGCAACAGTTTACGCAGCCGGTTGACTACAAGCAAAGGATTGTGCACGTTTGTTCTGAGACTTTTACCGGTTTGGCCGACATAATTCGCATCACATTTTGGCGTATTATGATGTATTCTCACTCCATGGGATCTGGGCCTGGTGTATCGGTACGCCTCGCGGCCTCGCCAGTGAGCTGCCTCCCCTCTCGCCTCCGATATGCTAGATCCAATCCCTGAGCCTAGCCCAATTGGGGGAGTCGAGAGAAGTGCGGTTGTTTCAGAAGATTCACTATCTCATGAAATGGCACCCGGAATTCTGAAATGAATTTTTGATTGGAACATATTAATTGCGGATGGCTGTAATAGAGATGATCATACAGCCT